CCCTCTAGTGTCATTGGCTGCCACAACACCACAATTACCCTGCCAGCAGGTGCAATTCATCCTGCCACATAAGTTTGCTTGTTTAGCGTCGTCACAGTTGCTAGGTGACAAGACGTACGCCGGGGTAAGGAGGGGAGGCTAGACCGTCCAAATCCACAGCCTCTTTTTTTCCGGTCTTCCCGGTCTACCAAGGACCCGGCCCTCCGAGACCGGGGAGTCTGGGTCCTCCGGAGGACCCGTCCTGTCGTTTTGGACACAGCCAACAGGTGTGCATTACCGCCACCTACTTATATGGAGTGTGAATAAAAATACTTAATATTTGTGATGTTGCTTGTATTCTTTTTTTCTAACTTTGTTTTTCTAAAAAAAAAACTTAAAACAATTTGTACACTTTAACTTCTGGTTTCTTTTTGTAATATATTTATTATAGTAAATGTTTCTTTGATTTTTGGCTTCCAAGTTAGAAATTTCTCTAAGTTTTGTTTTATGTCTCCACACAAAAGGTCCTCACCAACCAAAGGTGCATATTGAATAAAAGGTAACTTGATTGGCTGCACAGCTGTGGCGTCAGAATGAAGCTCAGAGTTGATTGGCCGATTCTATAGTCAATCAATCACGTACTGTGGGCGGGACATGAGGAGCTCAATATACATTTTGGGTTTTGGAGAGCAAAAAGATGAATCCAGTTGGTCATTTAAAAGAAATTCCCCCCAAAACACAACAAAAATATGTTTTTACTATTCTTAAACTGATAAACAACATAAAAAGAAATACCTTTGTTGCATTCTTACCTTGTTTGTTTCACTAGAAAACAAATTGTTCATCAGAATTTTCTAACGTTCCGGAAAAAATATTCTCTTCAGAAGATAAATCAGGAATAAAAGAGCCAGGAAGCAGCAAAAAGTAAGTTTTCAACTTCTGTTCACTTTTAAATACTTTGACCTAAACACACAAAAAAATAAATAAATAAAATCAGAATTTTTTTTCATTCATCTCTAGCATTTTTGAAAGTCAGTATGGATTCGGGTGGATAACAAAAGTCTTGATTCTTCTTTCATGTTCAGCACGTTTTCAGCAGGTGATCCCAGGTAAACACGTCTCAGGATTATTTACACTGTGAGCTTCTTAATCTGATAAAAGTAACAGTGGGTTTGAAGAGCAGAGCTAAAGCAAAACATCCAACTTCCTGGTGTTTAAGTAAAAGGCACACAAGTGACTGTAGTGGGTCTTTCCCATCAGGGGGTAAAAACAACCCTGTGCAGGAGTTTCTGAAACCCCGGCTGCTTAATTGGCTTCCCAGTGGTGTTTGGAAACTTTTCGCCTCACATCACTCAGCAGGGAGGAGGAGAGGCATGCCTTTCAACCTCTCATGAAGAACTGTTCTTGTCAAGTCGTAACAAACTTAATCAAAAATTGCTTCTCTCAGAATACAGTGAAAGGGATCCTAATTTCAGTGAGCATTTTTTCCCAGTAGTCCTTGGGAAAACCTCTGGAGTGCCCTGAAACGTCCCCGCCTGCTCCTGATCCCGTTTCTCTCTCTCTCTCTTTTTGGCAGAGCAGCTGCTCTAAGATTTAGATGTCATCATTCAGGCAGATTGGACACCAAAATATTTCCTCCAGAGAGTGAGGAGAGCATGGAGAAGCAGAATGTGAGATGAGTTTGTCGGACACTATTTGATTAAGAGCCTGTGTGTCTGTGGCAGCAAAATCTTCCCCGAGCGAATCCCCCTTACTGACTCCCCCCGAGTCTTCAAGGCAGTTTAGGGACGTTTAGGGTGCATTTGTTAAGTTACACAGTCAAAAATTACCACCAATATTATTGTTTTATTTAGCCTTTTATAAGAAAAAAAGAACAGATTTATTTTTCAAAGTCAGTTTTTCACCATACATTTATAAATGTCATAGTTTATAAACTAAATATTTAACTTACAAAATGAAAAATAAATCTGTTCTTTTTTTCTTATAAAAGG